GGGTGATGCCATTGGAGGAGGCTCAAAATCATCGACTGTCACTCATGGAGGAGCGAAAGTTACACAAGCAGAATTGGAATCTCAGAGAGGTGAGCCTTTGTGAGCACTGATGGCTGCAGCCCTGCCAGATCGTACAGAAAGAGAGCGGGAAGAAAAACGTGGGGTTCCTCATCATTGATTGCGATCACTGCTAGCAGTTGTGCCACGAAGCAGCAGATGTTCTGAGATTCTGAGGAGTTTCTGCGCATGTCCTGAACTCTACGCAGATGGGTTGAAGCCTCGTGGACATATCTGGTGTATAGCATTTTACGAACTCTAGCTCGACATGCTTCCATGTTACTACCGTCAGCTGTTTGCTAGCATCGGCTTGCCTGGAGGGTTCCCGGTGTTCTTGCACATCATATCAGATGTCAGATGTAATATATAATACCGTTGAATAAGTAATAGACATGTATATTTACATATATATATATATATCTATCTCTCTCTCTCTCTCTCTTTCTCTCGTTCGTTCTTTCTTTCGTTCTTTCATTATTTCTTTATGTAATGTATTTATTACAAAATACAAAATGTATATATTATGAGATGTTATATGCTTTACTTTGTTATATCATATCAAAGTTATATCATATTACATTAAATATTACGTCATATTATGTGTATAACATATTTTGTACTGTCGATTTTCTTCAGGATCGTCCATGCTGGACCTGAGCGTCCGGACTGTAACGAGAATGCCCATTGCACCAGTTAGCAAGCACGACAAGCCAAGTAAAAACCCGAAAAACCCTAAGCCCTAAAGGCACAGTGCCAGAGCTGGATATATAAGTCAACCCTTTTCAAGGGTTTGGTAGTCCAGTTGTCTCCTCCTCCATTGCCTTTGAGCTCACGAGTTTCAGGGTATTCGACGAGCTTGGTCTCGTTTTCTTGAGTTATACGTATAGTCATAGTATTTAGTATGCACAGTACGTAGGGTAGCTCATCTATGCAGGGACTGAGGGGCAAGCCTCTTAGAACAACCACCCCAGCACTCACCAGATGGGAAAACAAGACTTTTGGATTTTTGCATGTCGAGCTGGTTCCCCAGACCTAAAAGCCCCGAGTAAGAAAGCGCAAATGCAGCCCAACAAGCCCCTACATAAGAAAACCAGACTTGAGACTTGTCTTGTACAGGCCGGTTTCATTATGTAGGTTGTAGCTGCAGGTGCGCTGTGCCTCCCACCCGGTCCTGAGGATCGAGCTGGCAAGATGGGTTCCAATGTAGATAGTGTGGGGGTGGGTGCGTGATCGCCATGCCAAAACTTGCTCGTCAGGCGCAACAACAAAGCCGAAGCGAAACTTTATGATAAAGAGAACTTCCCGATGAAGTCAAGGCGAGGGTGGAGCAGAGGAAGGGATGTTTTCGTTCAGTTCAGTGCATTCTCGCACCCCCGCAGCCCCTCATTGAAGCGCCGTAAACCCCAAACCTTGCATGCAGATTCCGTTTATTTTTGTGAAGCACAGCAATTCACAGAGCAGAAGGTTGAGTCAACAAGCAAACAAAGGCTCTCCACGTCCTAACGGTCCAGCCTAGCAAGAATGCCTGTGTGCTTAGCTCCTGCTTGATAGGTTGTTTTAGCCAGCTTTCCACCTTCCCAGAAAACGATCCGATCTTGGTTTTGCCTGCAGCAGAGAATCCAAATTTCAGTTCGAAGCTCGGATTCTCTTCTAGTGGTCTACTGATGGTTCATAGCCCGGACAGCTGAGGCACTGAGTCTACCGAGACAGGACACTATCGCAGTGGCCGCTGCCATCTCTGCTTGCGAGAAGGGTCAGAAAAGGTGCGTGGGGTTGAATACCGCGCCTGGGGTCCTCGTCCTTACATAAATATACTAGAATTACTTGAATATACCCCAAAGCCCGCCCAGTTCTTTAAGCCCCTGGCTTTAATTTATGTTGGGCGACTCGAGCTGCCGGCGCAAGGTACAAGAAAGAAACACAAGAATCAACCCCAGATAAACCCAAGGCCAATCAGCACACGATTCGTGGAATTCTGAGAAGGACTTTAAAATGAACCTTGAGCGCTCAGCTCATCATGCATGTCCCATGCTGCCTCTCAGTTGCGCTTGCATCGGTTGCTGCTTTGGGAAGTTCGAGGTCCAAAATGCGCACGCGCGACTGAAGCCTACACGGGCATACCATGATTTACCAGAATATACCATAGTAAACCATAGTAAACCATAGTATACAGTATACCATAGACCATGACACAATATCTGGGTTTGGCGACCAGAGACTGTGGAGGCACGGCATTCTCCCAAAACATGCACCGTGCCGCGGCGAGAGCAGCCGAACACAATTAGGCCATTTTGCACACCACCTGGAGGGCTGGACGGGCCACATCTAGTTGCGATCGGCACACCCTGCAAGACCCCCGGCATGATGGCATGCTGTTGTTCCAAATGCTGAACCCCTGAACTCCCATATGCTAAAGCGCATTCGATTCCCATACACATCCCAAACCTGAAACCTCTGTCGCAAAGTGTAGTCCACCCGTTGCCAACCCTGACGCCAGTCGTCGGAGAAAAACAGGCAAAACCCCCACAGGCCACAGACCAAAATCCTGCAAGATCTTGAGCCACCTGACATCCCAGAGCCCAGGCACTACACCTAGGACCTAGTATACCACTGCCGATGCGATCAGGCTCGTAGTCATTGTTACCATCTGCATCGTCGTCCTCATAACATCTTAATCGCCCGAGGCCTTATGAGAGCGCCAAGGTCATAGTGCCATAAAAATAGACCCCATAAATCCCTACAGCCCCAAAGTCTGATTCCTTACAGTGCCAAACCATGCCAAGCCTTGCAGCCCCAAACTCCTAAAGCCTTAAATGTATAATTATTGTTATGATCATTGCTTAGCTGCTTCACCAAGTCGCGAGCATCCTCCCGCTGCGTGTAAATGAAATAGTACTATTACTGTATACTGTATTTTACTTGACATGCAGGAGGTCCGATGCTGCTTGGCGGAGTGCTTCTGCGCTGCTAGCTGAGCTCGCACCGAAGAGGCTCCGGAGGGATGTAGCTCAGCAGAAACAGAGTACAGGGTTTGGGGTTTAGGGCAGTAGACGACATGTTTACATTGGGATTCTGGTGAAATAATCGTATCACTCCCCCCCCTTAGTTGCGATCAAATGACAGTATCAGTAGTACTGAGATTCGTGCTCGCTCCCGCTGGCGTCATAGCTAGAACCCCATCCACCTCGCAAGCTACGACAGAAACTCCTTACTGTAACCTGGACTAGTGTCGCCCCAGAAAACAGGGGCCGATGTTGCGGGCAATCATCAGTATATATATATATATAGCTAGCGGAATGCACATTGCGTACTACTGTGCATGTGTGTATACATGTATGCATATGTATATACACGTGGACATGTTTATGTACATGCACTCATACATACATATGTACCTATATACAGGTTATATACATATGGTTATATCAAATTGTGCCTACTTGCCTGCCTGTCTTCCTGCCTGCATGGATGCATGCATGCCTGCATATGTACGAGCCTATGCACAGATGTACATACCCATCCACCCCCTCCACACACACACACCCACCCACCCACCCACCCACCCACCCACCCACCCACCCACCCACGCACACTTGCAAGCACGCAGGCACTGAACCTTTCAATCGCATACATGCTGTGTACTCCGAGCATCGCCATCGTGATCGCTCGCTTCTTCCTTGTCATTTGCATCATCATAATCAACTTTGAAAACATAGTATTGTAGGCTACCGCGGAGGGGTAACTCAAGTTTTGTGCCGATAACTAGGTACATAATGCAAGCAGGTATAGACAAACATTTCCAAACTTGTCATGGGCCTCTACATCATCAGGCTTGTTTGCTCAGTTGTCATAATGTACCACTGGGATTCACGCTTCCGGATCTTGCTTGAGGATGTAATCTACGAAATTCTTGTCAGACGCGCTGTGATCGGTCTTCGTCGTTTGGCCCCAACCCTGTCGTGAAGCCAAGGCCATCTGCAGCAACGCAATACTGAGCGCGTTTGAGATCCTTGGCTGCAGACAAGGATTGATGCCTTTTGTGCATCTAGAATCTAGAATCGAGAGCACCCGTAAACCCTATGTGCAGGTTTGTAGACTTGCAGCACCAGCCTTTCAGTAGTCATAAGTGTAAATGGTGAAGAAGAAATTGCAGTAGTGGTGGTCAGTAGCATAGCAGGTAGTAGCTGTAGTAATCGTCGTCGTGGTCGTCGTCGTCGTCGTCGTGGTAGTCGTGGAGGTTGGTGCTGGTGGCGTTGTTGTTGTTGTTGTTGGTGGTGGTGGTGGTGGCATGAGAGGATGGTGTTGCCAAGACGGCCGTACATTACGATGCTGAGGAAGATCAGCACGGTTGCTGTGCTGATGATTTTGTTCTGGTTGATGTCGATGGTGACGACTACGTTGTTGTTAATGGCGATGGCGATAGACGATGATGATGATGATGATAATGATGATGATGATGATGAGGATGTTGCTTTGGCCGATGATGGTGACGATGGCATCGGCGGTGTGCAAAAATGGTTACATCTCAATAAATATCTACATCTATATCTATACCTATTCTATATCTGTGGTGCAGATGGTTCTTATGATGCCGATGCTGTTGATGAGGCTGATACTGTGGCAGAGATGGTGATGTCGCAGACAGTGATGGTCATCGGCCTGGTGATGTCAATGGTGTTAGAGCCGTTGGAGGTGCTGTTGGCGGTGAAGCCATGTTTTGTTTTTGCCATGTGCTTTGCCGTTGCTGGTGGTAGTGTGATCTCGAGCCTCCCGGTGTTTCCAGAATCTTTTCGGGAAACATGGGGAGGCTTTGGTAGGTGCCTATCGTCTTTGTTAGGATTCCTGAACATATGTAATCAAGGTTTAACAAATTAAGCCGTTATGTGACCCAAACCTGGTGATTCTTAAGGCTCCTATATTCGCCCAGGAAGGCGCAGAAGTGGATGCTAGCCTTGGCTCTCCTCCACACCCGGAGGGCGCCAGGTGACATTGGGCTCATCGGCTTCCTGCCTGGGGCCATGGGAGTTTGAGGGCTACTAGTACTAGGAGATTGTGAGAGGTTTAGCGTGTAGGGTTCCAGAAAGAGGACCTCGCAGGCCTGGACTACGGGTTGATTCTTTATGCAAAGGCTTATTAATTTTCGTTTAGGGGCAATTGGTTTGGGGTTTCGGGCTTAAGCCTCAGATCCTGTGCCTCCCCCAACTGGCGTCCACTGAGACTTCGAGCATGGAGACGAAGAGGCCTGTGTAATCCGAAACCCTAGAAGCCTGAATCCAAAACAGCCTAAATATCCCTAAAAGGTTAAACTCAACCCCACCAACCTTGGGCCAATCCGGGTGAGGCTTCTCCACTAGAGAATCCTACACCCCTGATCCTCAAATGCCCAAACCCGCTCGAGGCTTCTCCAGCGCTTTGGGGGCCTGTGCCTCCGCGGATCAACGCGAAGCCGCCTGCCGGCTGCGGCAGGTGATGACGGAGGAGGCCCCTGGGCTTTGGCTAGCTTGAATCGGGCTCTTCATTGAGGGTTTCGTAGGTTCTAGGGATTGATGTGATATTTAGGCCATATAGGAACGCTGAGGGTTTGTCGTATGAACCCCAAAACATGAAGTCTAAACGTCTAAACCCCAAATCCCAAGCTTTGAATCCTAAACCCCGAACCATGATGCTTAAATCCAAATTCCAAACCCCTGCGCCCCAAACCATGAAGATGAAACCTTGCGCCCCAAACCTGAGCCCCTATACCCTAAAATCGTAAACCCTGAATCCCGGCACCAAGATCAAGCCCAGTGATCCTGCCCAGGGACTGCGCCCGACGGCGAGCAGTCCGCGAGCTCAGAGCAGTTTTTTTTCTCAGGGCCAGAATCTTTGGAATAGGGTAGGGGGCATTTGGAGGGTGGGGGGGGGATATTATCGTATTAGAAATCTAAGGGAATTACAATTACAAGGGGATGATGTCAGGAAATATACCGACCTCTATATTGCGTGTTGTCCTGGCTTAGGATCTGCTTTGAGCCGTGCACAATGGAGTTGATTCTGCAGAACTACGTACAGACTTTGTTGGCATGCTACAAATTAATGCGTAGGGTAGGTGGATACCGGCATTGCACGATATGTAAACAACCACATGAACATGCCAACTGAAGTACCAGCCAAGAGACGCTGTCGGACAAAACCCGCAAAGCCTAAACCCTCAGCCCCAAACCCGCACGGCCTCGAACACCCCCTCAAGGCCTCCCCTTTAAAGGAACCCGAAGACCCCTTCCAGGCCTCACTGTGATGGTCGCCGCTTTGGCCGGCAGCGAAGAGCCGGGACACCGGCTGGAGATCCCGTAGCTCGGATTCTCTGAAACGGGGTGTTGTTTAGAGTTTAGGGCTTATAAATAAGTTTGCGGGTTCGGGATTTTGTGGGGGCTTTGGGTTTTAAGGGTTCCCAGAGACTCAGGAATATACCCGTTTGTCTGATTAGGACTTCTATCAAATTGTATGTTAAGTAAGACATATTAGGAGGCATGTTGCACATGCTGCTTAATGGTACTCATCATGTTAACAATAAAGGTGATTATGACAATGACAGTGACAGTAATCACAATAAGAATAGTAATATAACAATAGTGATAGTATAGTAAGAACTGTGTGTATAAACCAAAGGACTGCTGCAAAAATAAATCATGGGTCTTATAGAAGCCCTCCGGGTCGTTTTCAGCTTGGCTTCGCGGATGCGGCTTTGGGGGATGCGGGGTAGGGTTTAGGGTTTGATTGGGGTCGAGGGTTTAGGCTTTGGGAGCCTGGGCCAGCACGGCAATTCAAGATGCTCTCGATGTTTCTCAGAGATGCCGGGTGTACCGTTGAGGCTTCCGGAGGAAGGGGAAGATTCCAATTCCTCGAGATCTGTGCCTTAAGAGCTGAGAACACTAACTTCATCCGAGACACGTTGTCCTTTTCTGCTCCACGCCATCCCAGAATTCCTTCCTGACAAGACACTCGGCGCCCATACACATGTACGACAAAAAGTATCGCTGTGTCCATGTTGTGGCTGTCATAGCAACAGCAGGAAGCTAAGACGAAGGTGAACAATCATCAGAGGAGGCAAGATAGCACTCCAGCTACTGACTCGATATGAAAATCAGGGCAGAACTACTGTTGCTACATGAAAAGAAACATGCTAAGGACAGTACGAGGCGGTTAATGTGGGGAGTGATAATACCGATCATCCCGAACAGCCTAGGCCTAGACACGCAGAACAAGAACTACATCTTGCCAACACGAATTCAACAGCTGTGCCAAGGAAGCTGCTGTCAGATGCACGGAGTGCCGTGCTCGATCTTCGTGAGCTGCCAGCTGGTGTTTTCCAATCCCTGAAAAAAGGCCCATGAGCCTTTGCAGCGGTCGCATCGCGGAAAAAAACCGCACACAGAGAAAGTGTACATTTCGCAGCTTCCAAGGGAGATGGAAGGATTTCAGAGTAGCTTGTTACCGTAACAAATTCTGCTCAGACCCACTTACACGATAACATTACAGTAACAACAACATTAATACGAATAACCACCATTACAATGATAACAATGACAATCGTAATAAAAAGACTGGTAATGCCCGGATGATGTGAACTATCAAGTCCCCCGAGTAGAGATCATGCCTAGCGCCTCAACCTCACTTCCTTGTGACGTGCAGAAAACCATAAATTACGACTATGTTATTCCTGGGCTGTAGCAGGTCAGTTGGAGTGTCGGTCTCTGTAGGAACCCAGACGTTTGGGTTGGTGAGCTGCTATTGGTCTGTTTCGGCCCGCACAGACCTTTGCATGAATGGTTCAGTACGAGCAAGCCAAATTCCACGTTCATCTTTGCACCATGGGCAACGATTTCTACTTGGCGACATAAAGTGTCATCGCGAAATCGTTGGTGTTGCGACGGCTGTCACTTGTTGCACTTAGTTCCACTGCAACTCACTGTGATTTAGTTTAAAGGCAAGCCCGAGGTGACAAGATTGTAGCAGTAGTCCAAGATTCAGTGTCCAGATCCCTGAACCCTGAAACCGTAAACCCAAACTGGCAGGAATTCGGATTTAAGGATTGGACTTTACCTATAGTCTTCTTTGTGGTTCCTTTTTTGGGGTAGCCAGGTTTACACTCTAGGTTCCTACTCATGAAAACGGGTTAACAAACAAAGGAACTACAATGCAGACTACAGGTAGTCCTTCAATCCGCGATCCACTGTTCTGTATCACTATGATTGCTATTATTATTGTTGCTACTATTATTATCATTGCTATGATTATTAGTACTGTTATTATGATATGGATTATATTGTGCTGTGTAGCGGCAATCCATCCCCTCCCCCTCGCCAGGCGGTCCGTGATCGAGCTGGGACCGGCTACAGCCACCACACCGAAGACCACGAGGTTGGAGCGTACGGCTCCGGGGGGGGGGCTTTGGGTGGTTTGGGGTCTGGGGTTTATGGCGCTTGGGGCTTAGAGGTGTGGCTGAGGTGTGGGTCTAGGCTTTCTGCGGCTTGGGGTTTAGAGTTTTGGGGTTTCGG